ATATATATATGGCTTTCGCAGTGTACGATTTCTAATACTACATAAGGGGGCAGACTTTAAAGTGAGTGTGCATTTAGCTAAACGGCGAAAATCTGCTTCCATTGAAGTTGTTTTGTTTCAAAAAACGTTTGTGATCAATAGAACCATCTGAAGACTGAAACAAAAGAATGTTGCTCTAAAAAGTTTGCAAATCACTGAATCGTTTCAAGCCGGTCATTCGCTAGGTGTCATCAATCAGTTAATGTATGTGTTTATGAATGACTACGAACGACTTAAGCTCAAATGCACGTTCTACTTTTATTGTGAAACAATAGCAACACGCGTATAATGGTGAATTAAGCTGTTGCCAGTCTTTCCGGAATTTCTGAAAGTCTAAGCGGAAGATTTTTGTCGGTCTAATCTGTGCTTGTCTAACCAATCAACACTAGCTGAACACAGCAAACGAAAAATCGATAATCATCGGCAATTTCTGCTCTGTTCGAGCAAGCCATATGCTTCCTGTTCCCAAGCAGATATAAAGTCCCCAGTCAGCTGCACAAGTACAACACACAACAACGCCTTGAGCGGAATTACTTTTTATGAATGTAGGATGTTAGCTTGTAGCCAAATATGAGATCCACTTCACCTCAGATGTCTTTCACTGGTTCAGCTGAAATCTTGTTTATCATAAACGATAGATTCAGTTGGCCTTACGTTAACACCCAGGTAGTATTGTGTCAAAAGCAGTGTTACGGGATGGGGCAACTGTGGGCAGAATGGTTGGTGATGCGGGGAGAATGCGGATGATTGTGACAGCAAAGATTAATGCGTGGAGTTACCATGTTTACAGAAGTGTGCTTATTATTCTTTAATTCCACAGACGCTACTAGCCTCTACGGCTATGCTTTCCGTACTTCACCTATCATTCTTAAAGAAGCTCGATCCGATTGATCTTCCGAACTTTACAGTATTGGGTGCAACCAGTGGGAACCCTTGTGGGATAATATCCTCTATAAGATAATACTTTCTCATATGTAACGTCATCAACCATTTTCCCTCCCAAACGCAACCATAGAAACAATACGTAAATAGTCAGTGACCATCTCAGCTTCGCTAGTTAGCAAAAGCATTTCATCACACGGCCATTGACCTTCATGGGTTTGCCCAAAGAGAAGTAGTCGTTTTACTTTCAGTGGAACTTGTCGCAAAGATTTCTAAGCATGTAAGCCCGAGGGGAATCTCTGAACGGGGTAACATTCCACTCTAACGCTTACCAAAAACCTTTGGAATGACAGAAATCTCCGTGTACTTATTGATAGATATAGATCTGATATGAGTAAATGCCTTGTGCTACAACCGCTAATACTACATTTTCTGCTACATTGACGGAGAGTTATCGACAATACCCGTTTTGGATTGGCCGGCGAGGTGGATCGAACCACACACATGGGAACAAATACTAGAACATTCAAATAGTGTAATAGGGATAAATGAACTCTAGACGGAATGTGAGATGGGATGGCTTCTTCAAAAATCTATTTTTGTACAAACAAGCAAAGGCTGAATACGGGCTAGTGGATGTGAAGCAGAGTATTAAAGCCGCTATCAGAAAATTTGGTTACGCTGTTCACTGCCGTCTCACTGGTCACGAACTCCAAGAGTTCGACGGCGGACGAAGCTGTGGTAACAATAATCACTATACAAAAATTGCGCTGTCCCTACAGCTGGGAAAAAAGACAATTATAAATGCACGATACATCTGAATGATTTCTCAAAAGGCTAAACTACACTTCTGTACTGAAAATGAGTGATTTTTGCACCATGTTTAGTTAAAAGAAATAATCAACTAAGCCTCAAGTCACCAAAAAACTAGAGATTACTGTGTTGTGGCGGTTTGTGTAACTCGGTTACCCATTTGGGTGTCCGCGCGACACCCATCGTCTCTCAACTATTATCATTTATTTTTGAAGAGCATGGTCACAAACATAAAAAGTGAGTGCAAGCGATGAATGCGAAAGAGTAACAGGAGAATATGGGAGAAAAGAGAGAAACGTCTCATTCGA